TAATTGTTGTATAGCTTCCCTGAAATGCATTAAATCCCTGAGTTCAATCCCCCCCACCATCACAAAAAAAAAAAAGCAGCATACAAAAAGTAGGACAATCAAGAGGCCCAAAAAATTGCAAAGTTCACCAGTATCCACAACCACAGTAAATGTCATGGGCTAAACTCAGCAGCTCAAAGACCAGAACTCTCAAATTGGATCTGTTGAAAATCCATCTACTTCCTGTTTACAAGCAAGGAAAATATATCCCAAACACCAATTGCAAAGAAGGCTGGAACAGCTGTCACCATCAGACAAAATGTTTTTGTTGTTGTTGTTTGTTTTGTTTTGTTTTTTGTACCAGGGATTGAACTTAGGGGTACTCGACCACTGAGCCCTATGTTCTATTTTATTTAGAGACAGGGTCTCACTGAGTTGTTTAGCACCTTGCAGTTGCTGAGGCTGGCTTTGAACTGGAGATCCTCCTGTCTCAGCCTCCTAAGCCACTGGAATTCCAGGTGTGCACTCCCTCACCTGGAAGACAAAATGCATTTTAAGAAAAATCCACTGTTAGAGACCAAAGAGCCACTACATGGTGACACCTGGGGTCCAAGGGTGCCTCAGGGCAGTATACATGGACCACACACATGCAGAGGAAATTGCCTGTTCCATTTGGGACAGTCTGAAAAGTAGGTAGCTTCCAATAGGCGGAGCCTGGGAGCCTGCCCTCAATACCTGTCCAGGGGACCTTCCAGCTGTTCATGGGTCTCCTGGAAAGCCTTGGTGTTGAGCTGGACTCCACCCGTCCGCCCTCCATCAGCCTGCCAGCCTGTACCAAGTCCCTCTTCTGACATTTCTCAAATATTAGAAAGTAAAAAATCTAATTAGTATGGCCCAATAAATACAGGCTGAGAGAGAAAGTGACCAAAAAAAAGAAAAAAAAATAAAAAAGTAGGTTGTTAGATTTGAGCCACACGATTTATTAACAGGTGTGACACAACCAGCCCCACGACATTTTCTGCACATTCCGCTTAAGCACAGAAATTAGCCTCCATGTAATGTTTTATAAATAAATAAAATAAGATTGCTTGGATTGTCAGGTGCTGCTGATTGGGAACAGGCCATGTTTGGCTGGGCAAGCCACACCTGTGGCTGAGTGCTGTGTGTGGGCAGGGGTGGTGGGTGGTGGTGATGGTCCTGGGGGCCCTTCTGGGGAGTGGTGAGGACCCCAACAGCACTCCTGCCCAGGCTGGACATGGCCTCCGGCTCAGCAGCTCTCACACACCCCTGAAGCATCAATGCAGGTCACTGGACTGCCCAGCTGGACGTCCTGCTGCAAGCTGTCTCCTGCAAGTTGGGCTAGGATAGATGGAGCCAGTCCTGGGCTCCCACAGCTGGCCACCCCACCCCACAAGCATCAGGAGCAGAGGTCCTACCACCCAGTGCAACCCAGATCCCCGCGCCAAGCCCTCGCTCAGTGTTATGAGAGGCTCGAATCTACCCAGATCCAAGTGCCCAAGCCCGCAGACCGCCGCCAGGGCGAGTTGGAAGAGGGACAGTAACCCAGCATGCTCGGGTGACCACTTAAGCAGCGAACCCTTCTAAGGACACCTTAGACTCCGTGGTCACGGTTCGGAGAAGGTGTCCCTGGAGACGTGGTTGAACTAAGACCAGGGTGCGCGCGTGCATGGCCGTGCTTCACAAGGGCGGCCCTGCCACTTTGCTGGACCCCTCCTGCCACCGGCTAGTCCTTGCTCCAGTTTCCCTGCGGCGCGCTCTGGGACAGGGTTGGTGGCGAGTGCGGCCCGCAGACTCCGAGGCGGAACTGGGCGCGGACACCAGGTGGCAGCACTAAGGCCGCTCCAGAACTAAGTCGGGCGCTGCGAACGCCCACCGAGGGAGGAGTCCGGGAGGCGGAGCATTCCGGTCTTGAGCGGTCTGGTGGACAGGAGGGGAAGACAGGTGCACAACCGTGGTGCCCAGACGCCTCTACTACCAAGGACAAGCCACCTCCACAGCAAGGCGCAGAAAGGGTCCGCACGGTAGACTCAGCCAGCAGGGGGCAGGATCTGCTGAGGCGCCTTCCCTCCACTGCTCCCTAGATAGCCAAGCCCGCAAGCCTGTTGATCCTGGAAATATGGCTCCTGGAGGGGAGGCGGGTGTAAACAGCAGGACTTCTTTCACTCACTGCTGTAAGTGCTGGCTGTGGAGTCCACGGGGTGTCATCTCCAGAGCCTGCAGGCCAGGAAGGGGCCAGGATGTAAGGGACCCCCTCCACTCCACCTGGGAAAAGAATCCAGGGCCACGGCTCTGCACATCTAGCTGCATCCAAGGCATCTCTGTATAGCCATCTTTCCCAGTTCAGGGCCCTGGAGTGGATCAGTGGCCCGGGCTCAGTGGCCAGGACAGTAGGAGCCAAAGAGTTCAGGGCCCCTCATTTAGGCCCACCTACTACCACTGTCAGCCTGAATCATCCAGAGCATCTGGGATCACTCATTGGTGTGGAGACACCCAACTGCTCCAATGCTTTCATGGCCCTTGGGCCCCTAAGCCCAAGAGGTGTGCAGGGGGCCACTGGGTGTATTTGGGGGTTATGGAAGCTGCAGCAAGCACCCATTGAGCTGGGTTCACATCCCAACTCTGTGACCTTAGGGATTAGCTGTGTGGCCCTAGGGGCTGCTTGCCCTCTGAGGTCTTTTGTACCCTGAGAGCGGACGGCCCACCTCCTAGGGCTGCTAACAAAACCCTATCATACAGGCCTGGGATGTGCTGGGCACAGCAGGTGTGGAGGAAGGTGGCTACTCTCCTGATGACCCCAGGGACAAACTCAGGGTTCTGGGGTGGAACTGGAAATTGGGAGCACGGAGCTGAGACACCTCTGCCAGCCTCCCCAGCTTCCAGGGTGAAGCAGCTTAGTGACCACAGGTCACACACACCCAAACTCCTCCTGCTGCACCAACACAGTGTGTGCGCCTATGCTACAAAAGGTTCACCTTGGCTACCACCTGCTTGCAGCCAGTGATAGCAAACTCACGGCCAGCAACACGGTAGTAGCTGAGCTGTGAGGCCAGGAGCTCTGCGCGAGCCTGCTCAGGAAAAAAGCCCTCCCCGGCCATCTCATCCCGGAAGCAGTTGACCACGTCCTGCTTGTCCAACAGCAGGAAGGGCACGATGGCCGCAGCCTGCCACAGTGGGTGCTCGCGGGCCAGGAGCTCCCGAAGACTGGCATGCAGTTCCTCCTCGGACTCCTCTGCAGCGGCTTGAGCACCACGGACTCTGTCAGGACGCAGGGGCTGCGCGCGGGAGGCGTTCTGCAATACAAATCGGGTGATCTCCGCGCCACCTGTGCCACTAAGGAGCACGTAGATGGCATTGTGAAAGTGGTGCGAACGCTGCGGCTGCATGAAGCCGTCTAGCTCATCCAGCAGCGCTGGCGGTAGGAGCTCCACCTCGTCCACTACCAAGAGAGGGGTCTTCTCTTCCGCCTCGGCCTGTGCCACCACTTCAGCCACACGCCGCGCCAGATCCTCCCGGCAGTCCTGCGCAGCGCGCGGCTGTGGGCAGTGATGCCGTGAGTGATACTGCAGCACGAGTGCGCTGTCCTCGAGCACCGCGCGGAAGTGGTGTGCCAGGAGGCGGCCTACATGACTCTTGCCTACGCCACTGGGCCCATGCAGTGCCAGGAGGAGCGGGCGACTATGCACATGCGTGGCCAGATAGTCCCGCAACAGCGCTACAATGCGGCCCACGGCGGCCGGCTGGCCAAACACAGCTCGCTGTAGCACCTTCTCCAGCCCATCGAGGTCGTAGCGCTGAGCGTTATCGTCCAGGTTCTCAATGGCATTGAGAACCTGGAAACCCACGATGGCTGCGAGCAGCAGCAGGCATCGTTGTGCGCGGCTCCGGCGCTCTGCGCGAGGTCGGTATTTGCGCGAAGCCTCAGGGTAGAGCACCACGCGGCTGCGCCGGCGCCTCTTGCGCAGCGTCCTGGAGGACAGCTCCGCCGGGCCATCGAAGGTGAAGAATTTCGGCTGGTCCAGCTCCCCGCGCAGGGACCCAGAGCCGCAGCCAGGCCTGAGCGCCCCGGTCCCAGTGTCGGACCCAGAGCCCAGCTGCAGGAGACGCCGCTTGCGCAGTAGCCACACACGGCGGCGTAGGCGGAGCACAGCGCGCACCGGAGCAATCACGCAAGGGCCTGAGGCTCTGGGGTCCGTGGCTGCGGACTCCAAGCTGGGCTGGCCGCAGTCCATGGCGCAGAATCTGCGCTCGGCATGCAGGTCACGTTCCCTGCAACAAAAAAATAGGGAGGGTCTTCGGACTCTCCATGGCCCTCCTCTGCGGGCCGACAGAAACCCTGGCCCCAAATGACCTTACCCGTGGGGCCTCGCGGGGTACCACCTGGGTTGCCCCACGCCAGAACCTGGTCCTACCTCGCCCCACTGACCAGGAAACTGCTCGGTGGGGCCCCAATGCAAATCTCTCTGGTCCTCCCAGAAACCGCCGCGGGCCTTGAGGAAGTGGCTGGGGGTAGGGCATGCAACTTATCTGGTGGCCACCCCAGCTTCCTGGAGGGCCACTCGGGCGGGCGATTAGGAATTAAGAAGGGTCAAGCCAGACCCCGCCCCCGTCAGCAGCTCCCGGACTATCTGGCGCCAGGGGCCGCTGCGTCCAAAGCAGGGCCCCAAGTAGCAGAAGCTCCAGCACCCCTGGAGTTCAGAGACACCACACTACTCAGAGACGGGAGGGGGGGGATTCTGGCAAACATGCTTTGGAGAAGGGGCCCCAACACTGTTCCCTGATTTTTCCCAGGCCTCCCAGTCCCCTACACCCGAAACTGAGGTCTTCCCAATATATCCGCCCGCCCCTCCCCCCACCCCACCCCCACCCACGCCGCTGCCAGTGAGGACTAACAGGGCAGCAGCAGAGACCCCCAGAGGCCAGCAGAGGTGGGGCTCAAGATGGACAGAAAGAAGACTTGGGAAAGAAGGATGAAGCCCTGACCCTGGGAGGCTGGCATAGGTCCCTGCACCCCACAGCCCACCCCCTACCTGCAGCTCAGTGTTCCCCAGCTCTGGCTGGAGCAGGAAGCAGGAAATGTTGTCCTCCCTAGAGAGAGATGGGTGGTACAGGGGCCTCCTGGGCCAGCTGAGGCCTGGAGTAGGCAGCGACACCTGCGGGTCCCCAGAAAGCGTCTGGAGCAGAGGAAGCTCTGGGGAGGTTTCCGTTCCTTGCAAAGGAAGTGAGTCAGGGGTGCGGCCGGGCGGGACTAGGGCTGGACAGAGGCGCCAGCCAGGGAGGCCTTTCTGGCCTGCCCAGAACCCCCTTCCAGCAGGTCAGCTTCTTTGCAGCCCTGTGGCTCTCCCAGGACACCTGGTGATATTAAGGACCCCTTTCCCTTGGCCCCTGGGCTCCTTGCAGCTCAGTCTGACCTCCATGGACCCCCACCTTCCCCAGGACATCTCCACCTGACCTAGCAGGGCCCACTGGGACTCCAGGCTACAGTAAACAAGAGGAAAGCAGGGTCCTTTGTCCAGCTGAGTTGGGTGCCCCCAATCCCTCCCTTACTTTCCTGTCTCCTCTCTCCTCCCCCTCTTCTGAGAGGCCCCCCCTTATTTTGTCCACCAGCCTGGATCCTCCCACATAGGACATACAGAGGCAGAAGTTCTAGAGGAACAAATTCAGAATTAACTGGGGACCCTTCCTGGCCACCTGCTTGCCTGTGCCTGATCCCCACTCCCATTCCCAGAGGAGCCTTCCTGGATAGCTCTTGGCCCCTCATTGTGTAAGGAAGCTGGTCTCGTCCATGCCCAGCCTAGAAGTCCTGGGCTCCCAGGAACCAGCAGCAGCCCTTGCCACCTTCTGAGGAGTGGCCAGGATGGACCTCTCTGTCTCTAGATCACTCTGGCTAACAGTTCTATCCACATGACAGGAATGCCAGGGCAGGAGGCTGGCTGTCCAGGCCCTGAGGTCCCACATGAGGAGTCCTTCAGGGTCACAGGCCCCCTCTTGCCTTTCTGCCTTTTCTGACACAGGGAGGACCCTGGGGCTGGGGCCTTGAGGGGCAGGTGCGACTGGCCAGGCCTACAGGAAAGGAGCAAGCCAGTGTCCAATTGAGTCCAATGCTGGCCTCCTGCTTTTGCCAGAGGATAACCAACCAAACCCTTTGGAGTCCAGAGCCCCACACTGGAGTGAGGAGACTCACTAGAGGGAAGTGGCAGTGTTCAAGGAGCTCATGTCCCAGAGCATTCACCCCCATGGTGAAGGGGACCCTAGAATCAGACTCCCACTATGTCATCTGCCAGCCCCATTCCAACCCATCCCTGCCCTGGGAGGCCTCCCCTCCCACCTACCAACCCCTCTGTAGTCCCATTGCCTGTGGACGTCATGCTGCCATCTGCAAATGCCATCTGGGTCTTCAGGCTTCCCTCTGAAAGGGCACTTCACCAGGAGACCCACTGCTTGAATGTGGGCAGCCCCCTAAATCCTCCTCTGTCTACCGCATCCCCGTGGGTGTCCCCAGGGTCATGCTCCCTGACCCACTAGTATCATTCTCTTTGGTCACAGTCCCGCTGGCAATGCTACCCTGTCCTCCCTCCTAGTAACTTTGTTCCCCAGGGTTCTGCCAGACCCTGGGGCCCTTGGCCTTCTCCCGTGACCTTGTGACCCCCCACACTCCCTCGTGTACTGCCTTTTCCCACCCTGCCCCCGTCATCCCGAGGCACCCCCAGCAGGACACTGTCTGTACAGCCACACTCCAGGGGCACTGGCAGAACCCAGTGCACTGACCAAGGCTGACTTCACCATAAGCTCAAGAAGGCCCTTCTCACGGCCAGTGACCTGGCCAGGTGTCCACTCTATTGGCTGCTCTACTCATGGCCCTATCCTTTCCTTCCTAGCCCTCCCACCTCCTCTCCCCACCCTGCCTCCACAGTGCCCTGGCACCTGTACCCACCCCACCCCACCCCACCCCACTCCATGATTTGGAAGTGGATGGAGTGTCCCCCACGGGCTTCCACATTGAAATCTGATCTCCGTCAGGAGAGACTGACTTGGAAACCCTACAACTGTGCTTAGAGGTGGACCTTTGGGAAGTAATTAGGGTTAGTTAAGGTGGTCATGCTGGAGCCCCATGATGAGGTCCTGGTGATTGAAAAGGAGAGCTGGGCACAGTGTCCCACACCTGTCATCCCAGCCCTCAGGAGGCTGAAGCAGGAGGATGGCTAGTGTGAGGCCAGGCTGGGCAACTTGGCAAGACCCTGTCTCAAAATTTTTAAAAAAAAGGGCTGTGGCTCAGTGGTAGAGTGCTCACCTAGCATGTGTGAGGCCCTGGGTTTCATCCTCAGCACCACATAAAGGTACTGTGTCCATCTACAACTAAAAAATATTTTAAAAAGCAAATAGAAAGGGTTGAAGGTATAGCTCAAGGTAGAGCACCCCTGTGAACACCTTCAGTCCTCAGTGCCACAAGAAAACAACAAGGAAACAAGGGAAGTGACTAATGAAGGCCCACACACACACTCCCTGCTTTTCCCCAGGACGCCCGCTGCAGCCCCGGGTCCCTGAACGAGCAGAAATAAACTTGTTTTCTTATAACTCATCCCGTCTATGGGTATCACTAGCAAAAGAAAACAGACAATGCTCCCCTTTAGACAGAGTCCTCCTTAGATTACCCAGACAGTCCACCTACCTGCTCCCCTGCCCGACTGGCAATGGGCAGCAAGGCTTGATTCATTCCCAAGTGGGAAAAGCTGGCAGAAACCTCCCCACACACACCTAACCCCAAAAAGAGCCAGAAAGGCTCTCCTATACCTAGACCAGTAGCCCTGCTCAGTCATGTCTTCAAGACCAGCAATGCGGGGCTGGGGATGTGGCTCAAGCAGTAGAGCGCTTGCCTGGCACGCGTGTGGCCCGGGTTCGATCCTCAGCACCACATACAAACAAGAGTGTTGTGTCTGCAATAACTAAAAATAAATATTAAAAAAATTCTCTCTCAAAAAAAAAAAAAAAGACCAGCAATGCCCAGTGGCCAGACTGCACTCCCTAAGCCACTGCCCAGCTATATAGGCTCATCTGAAGAGAACCACCCAGAGGTACGCCAGTGCCCTTGGGCTTGCCCTGGCTTCGTGTCCCCCATCTGTGCAAGGAGTGAGTGGCTCATCTGGACCCACAGACAGAAACCAAGGAGCTGGTCTGTCTTAGCACCATGCAGCCTGTAAAGCCTTGAGGGGCTTCTAGCAGTCTATGCCTGGCGTTCAAGGACAGTGGCCCAAAAAGGGGACCATGGACTCACAGGGCCCCCTGAGAATTCTCCATCTCTGAGCTGCACCCAACCCCCAGGGCCAGCAGAGAAAAGGCTCATCTGCAGATTTTACCAAAATGTCTTTTATTTACATAAGTGGAAACCTCAATGTGCACCCAATTTCCCCACATGAGGGTCAGTCAGTGCAGCTGGGCAAGAAGCAATCTTCTCCAAGGTAAACTGAGGCAGTACACGTGGGAAGGAGGGGCACTGCCTGCAGGGCCTCCGTCAGTCGGATGGGCACCCTGGTACTGGTACACCAGCAGCTCAGGCCGCTGGCCCGCTGCCATCCTGAGTGACCCTACAGACATCTGGACCCAGCACACCTGCTTTGGCCAAAACCATGTGCACTCCCTCCCCTCAGGCTCACCACACTCATGTCAGGCCAGGTGCTCGGGCTGAGAACTGCCAACACCAAAAGGCTGGCACTATGAAGCTCCAGGAAACTGCCAGGCCCCAGGGCAAGAGCAGGTGCCTCCCAGGACCAGCTCTAGGCAACTAAGAGGGAGGAAGGGTGCCCTACTGCACAGGCCCTGCAGCTCCCTCCCAAGGCCAGGGGAGCCTCTCCCGATGACTGTCCCAGGAGGGGCCCACTCCTGAGCAGCCCTTTGGGTGCAGAGCCTCAGAGTCCAGCTGGAGCAGGCACGCTGGGGAGAGGCAGCTCCAGGGCGGGTGGCTCTGCAGCCTGGCCTGGGCTGGGTTTCCGATGGTCCAGCTGCTCCAGCTTCTCACCCAGCTGGGAGTAGAGCTCCTTCACAGCCTCTCCACTCTGCAAACAGACCCAGGTTGTGGGACCAGCAAGAACCCGCCAGCCCTGGGGCAGCCCAGAGGAAGGCCCCAGAGACCAAGCAAAGCACAGGAGGCCAGGGTCAGTATTCCCAGATGTGGAGGTCAAGCACCCACCTGGCCCGTGGGCTCCAGGGCCTTCTGCAGAGCCTCCAGCTTGGAGGGGGCTACCCTGGGGTGCAGGTGGAGGAGAAGCCGCAGTACATGCCGATGCACATTCTCCTTCCTGGAAAAGGCCAGGGCCGGGTAGAGACAAGGGGCTGAGAGGAGGATACACTCCTCCAAGGCTCAGCCCAACTGCAGGGGAAAAGCCCCTTCCAGCTCCTCCTGCTGCCCTGGAGACAGGACCCCCCAACTATACCTGGGCAACCCTTTGGCAAGTGCAGCCATGGTGCCCGACAGACCCACCTGCAGCCCCTCACCTGCCAGGCTTCTGTGCACACGAAAGTCTGGCTGGCCTGGCTTGCCCATGGCTGTGTGGCCTACCTAGGTGAGGCTGTGAGGAAGAAGCCATCGAAGAGGCTGCTGCAGAAATCCTCCAGGGCAAACTCGTCAGCCAGCAGCGCCAGGCTCCCAGTAAGCAGGTGGAGGAAGATATCGCTGAAGGCCAGGTCGCCGAAGGTTTCCACTGCAATCACAGCAGGTTGGCCTGGCCCAGCCACCACCCACCCCTTTGCCAGGGCAGACAACCTCTGCCCTCAGAAACCTGCCCCTGGGGTCTCCCCAGGGACTCCCAAGTACCCAGAGATCAGAACAGGGTCCCAGGTGAGTGGGTGGTGGACTGGGGGTGGGGATGAAAACAGGGTGGCCCCTCCTGAAGGCTCTACCCAACAGTTGAGGGCTCTGGTCAGAACCAGCCCCAAGAGAGAGAAAAACCACAGCCCAACAAGGAAAAGGCAGGAAGAGCCAAAGCACAGCCTGGAGGGAGCTCTTCCAAACTCCCTTTTTGAAGCTACTAACCCTAAAGCAGAAAAGACCATGAAGCCAACTGCAGCTAAGCCTTGCTGCACCAACACAACACAGGTACTGCCAGGCCCTGCCCGAGCAGACCTCAGGGGTGCCGTGTGGCAGCAGTCCCACACAGGCAAGGTAGCACCTGCAGCCTGGTCACGGCGTGGAGGACTGGTGCAGATGGAATGGGAACTAGATGCCACCATCCCTGAGACCTGCCAGGGCAGACCTGGCCGACACTGCCTGGACCAGTGGAGAGACGTTTCAGAGAGACACAGGCACCCTAGGGGTGCCACTGTCAGTGCCTAGAACTCTCCAAGCCCTAAAGCCTATGGGAGACCTGGGGGCAGGCAGGCAAGGCTCACGGCAGCACTCAGCCCCATCGACAATGCCTGCCAGATGCCACAGGAACACAGCCA